TTATATATAACAGATAAAGTACGAGCTTTACGAAAGTTCGGAAAGTATTGCATCATTTGATTTAAATAATGATCCTAAATTAACCAACATCTGGGTTGTTGCACAGCAAAACCATACTTAGAACATATAAAATATATATACTCTAAGCATGGTTTTGCTATGCAACAGCCCATCTTATATTTGTAATTTACAGGGGTTACTTAACGGCCATTCTAGAGTCAAGACTTCGCCGGCTAATCAAGATGTAATACAACAACTAAAAAATCGTTCATAACACAACTCTTTACCGCCTTCTGCGCACTACAAAAAAGTTTTATTGCAAATTTTTGGTAATCGTAAAGTTCATTTCTAAACCTAATCCAATACTGTAGCAAGACTTAATCATGGCAAATTTTTATGTTGGCGATGCTATGGCCCTATTACAGTATTATGAAATTTATGATAACTTAAGATGTAATTTACGATTTTTTTAGGTAAGTTATCCTACTCTATTGCCTTATTCGTAATATCTATTTTTTTTTTTTTGGATATTTGTCCTTATTTAAGTACGTATCAGAGTATAAACATTTTTTATTTGTTTGTTTTTTTTTTTTTAAAAAAAAAAATTCAATATTAATATCAAACATTATTACAAGCGATTCCAATAATTATTAAGGTTAAATGAGTAAATAAATATAAATGATCATTATTTTAAACTTATGTAATCTGAGCGAATCACATAGATAATGGTCTTTCATATACGTCGTTATTATTCCCACTTGTTCTATTTTTAAAAACATCTGCCGAAGTCGACGTGGATGTCACTGGTGTCACTGGCGAATTTGTTTGACTTTTCTGTTTCTTAAAGGGTAAACTTAAAGATGCTATTTGATATGATTGATATGAAATAATAAGTTATAATGGACATTCATAAACAAGAAATCTTAATTTTCCAAAGAATACATACCTAATCCACTTGCAACAGTGCCACCACCTTTTTTCTTTAATTTTATACCTCGACTATTCCAACCAGTTTTTGTTTGATTTCCACCACCATCTCTAATTTTTTGAGCATGTCCTACAAGACATTCAATCATTTGGTTATAAGTCTCAGAGTCCATAATTGTTTGTTCACGTTGGTCCAGCCAAAACGTTAAAGCATCAGAAGTTTGACTTGATAATGAAAGTAATTCTGATTTTAGATAACGCAATTGCACGTTTGTTAATGTTTGTAATGTTTCTAAAGAAAATAATAGTAAATATTAATATATAGCTATAAATAAATAAAAAATATAGGGGACTGATATTTCCACGCCCTATGTAGACTTTGATCGAAGGCAGAGGTTTGATCCATTCAATCTTTTTAATATCCAAATATTCATCAGCAAATTTCAAATGAATATTCGAATATTCACTGAATATTCATTGAATATTGATGATCATGAAATAGAGTTTTTAATTCGGAACGATAATTAAGACAATATATGAAGTTGGATGATAAAAACACAAGCTAACAAATGAATTTTATACTAAAAGCTGTATTAAAATAAATAAATAAATCAATAGAGAAAACTTCTACTAATAAGGATTTATCCTGTTCATCTACTTGGGCTCATGATTATTAACATTGCTAACCAATCAGTATATAAGATTGAACATGACATATGACACCAATCTTGCATTTAATTGGTCGATTAGATAGTATACATTCATTCATTGAATATTCAATGAATTATTTGTTGAAAAATTTTATATTCGAATATTCAATTCAGTGAAACAATTATATATATTCGGATATTCGAAAATTCATCAAATATCATTGGATCAGACCTCTAATCGAAGGTATCTCGACAACCACCTGATCAATTTCGATAAAATTTTTTTTATTTAATGAATTTGATCAGGTAGTTGTCGAGATACCTTCAATAAAAGTTAGATAAAATTTTGCCGTGGCTAATATTTTGATAGACGTTGAACTTTTTTAAACTTTAATCGAAGGTATCTCGACAACATCTGTTCAAATTCGATGAAATTTTTTTATTTGAATTCTACACATATATAGAATTCGAATAAAAAGAAGTTCATCGAATATGATCAGATGGTTGTTGAGATACCTTCGATTAAAGTTTTAAAAAAATTTCAACGTCCATCACTACGGCAAAATTTTATCTGACTTTGATCGAAGGTATCTCGACAACCGCCTGATCAAATTCGATGAACTTTTTTTTATTCGAATTCTATGAAATCTTAGAATTCAAATAAAAAAAAAAAAATTATCGAATTTTATCGGGCGGTTGTCGAGATACTTTGATTAAAATTTTAACATCTATCGAAATAATAGTTATCTTTGATTGAAGGTATCTCGACAATACCTGACCAAATTTTATGAACCTTTTTTTTACTCAATTCTATGATTTTGTAGAATTCAAATAAAAAAAAATCCATCGAATTTGATCAGGTGGTTGTCGAGATACCTTCGATCAAAGTTTTAAAAAAGGTGATCTACATAGGGGTGTGGAAAATATCAAGAAAAGGCTGTGGAAATATCAGTCCCAAAAATATATTCGATATTTAATGTTAGGTAAATACCTTCTGATATTGAGCATAATGATCTAGCCAGATTTAAATCAAGTTGTTTAGTTGCATCTATTTGCGTCGTCGACATTTTTTGTTTTGGGAGATTACCATAGGAAGAACTTGAAAGATTATTATGTATTGAATCAGGTGTCGACGAACGACTAACGGGAGCTGATAAAGTCACCGGTTTGTTTGGAGTTGATGTAGGACGCACGGGTTTTGAAGGTAAGTTTACTGGGGATTTCGTCTTTTAAGATAATTTAATTAGAGAATTTTTTAAATTTTAAATTCACTAAATATAATAAGCAAAATAACAAATACATCCTCCAAAGCTTCAATTGCAATTCCTAGGGTTGAATAAAATTCTTTTCTTATTATCGACCTTTTCCATTGAAAAAGTTGTTCATTTGATTCATCAGATATTTGTTTCCATATTTCTAAGCTATTGTAAAAATATTCGTTATATAAAAATAAAAATTTGTTATAATAACAGGAAAAAAAACTAAGAAAACTAACCTCTTTGGAGTAATAAACACAGATTCTAAACCTTTATTATTGGACTCATTCTCTGAATTTTTATTAAGTAAGGTAGTTACCGGAAATATGTTGTCCAATACTTGACTCAAGGCTTCAGTTAGGGATTTATCCATTGAAACGAAATTTAAATTATTCTAAAATTTATTATTAATGCATATAAGCTTTCAATTTGAAAAGCATAAACTAGAAAAAAAAAAAAGAAAATACTTTCGTACTATAGTGCTAGCACTACCTTATATGTAATAATAAGATTGGTGTAACATGTATATCAAAATTGGTGTAATATATAACAAGTTGTACGCATAAAAGAGCAGGGAGTTTTTCTAAAGTTTATTGGATAATGCATTGTCACGAAAATGGAAACAGAAGAATGGGGTTAAGTTGGCGTCACTGAGGCTAAATTTAGAGAGGTATGATATTGGTGCAGGGGTGATTTATGTTATCTAAAGAAGGTAATTAAATGCATGATTTGATAATGTGTAACGTGAATTTTTTTGTTCGAACATTGGTTGAGGTAATGGGTTAAAAGAGTAGATGAGAATTTTTAGAGAAATGTAAGTTTGCCGGTAAATTGTGTAAATATTTGGAAAAGAATGTAATTGCGTTAAGGTATAGGGCATCTAATTGTAGGAATGTGATGGATAAGATAACGGGTTAATATATAGGTTGTAGTGGTAAAATGAATGCAGTTTACGTAGTGGAATAATAATTTGTTTAAG